TCATGTTTTATATATATATATATATATATATATATATATATATATATTGTGTATATTTAAGCAGCAATTTTTCATTGATGCATGTTTCATTAAATAATATAGACAAGTTTTGTCTATTTATTTGAAGTAAGTTCCTTTCATATTGTCTGATAAGCTTAATAACATTATCATTGAAAGATGAAAGAAAATCGCCATATTAGTAGATGTTTAAATCCAATTTAAGCTTTCGGCTTACATAAGCCATACTTAGTACTTCTCGTTTTCACTTTCGCGTGGTAATGTGTGACGTCATGAGCTGCGACGCGATTTTCGCTTCCGCGTCTCGTATACACGTGTTAGTCGTTGCTTTAAAATTTTTCATGCAGCAAGGGCGGGATATCATTGTTTTTTCGTCCGTGTATTGTTTGATATGTTGAAATGTAATTGTCATCTTTAATAATGGCTTATGTAAGCCGAAAGCTTAGATTACATTTAAACATGTATCAATATGTTGATTTCCTTTCGTCTTTCAATGATAATGTCATTAAGCTTATCAGACAATATGAAAGGAATTTACTTAAAATAAATAAACAAAAACTTTTCTATATTATTTAATGAAACATGCATCAATATATATATATATATATATATATATATATATATACGTTTTTTTTTACAACTCTCCAATTGTTATTCTAAGAACTATACTGTTTATTTAGTGATAAAAATACCTTCCAGCCCAATAGATAACTATCTACCTATAAATCTATCTGCGGGAATCATAGACAATTTGACGCCGAAAAGACCTACTAGACATTCGTTGATAATTCAAAGTAGTCGGAACTCGATGTTTGATTTTTCGTAGAATTATCAGGACTGTGATTTTTTTTTTGTATGGAAGAGTAATCATGTAATTCCTCACCTGACCAATCACAAACGAAGAATTAAGCGGCAAATTTTGGAGTCTTGTTGATGGGAACGTCTTGAACGAGACATGAACTGTGAGTTCTTCGTCGCCTCTAGTTGTTCGAATTCAAGTAGTCACCAGCCAAATAAAAAAAAAAAACAACAAAAAAAAACAAAAAACAAGAGATTTTCCTCAGACGCCTGTCGTTTCCACCGAGTTTGGCTTTCATTGATGTCAACTGGGAAAAGATCAGATCGATATTTTTTTTCTTCCGTCTTCATCGCTGGTTTTCATCGCAACTTTGGGTCAAATTATATTATCTCGTGCGAAAGTTAAGAATTCAGAAATTGAGATTAAAAGCTAGCAAAATGTCAGTAATAATAATAATTAATAATAATAATGATAATTTATATTTTGTCACAAAGATTAGGGAACTAGAGCATGATGAAGCCGATAAGTACCTAGGAATTAGCGAAGGAGATGGCATACAACACCCCAAAATGAAGGAGGAGGTAAGAAAGGAGTACTACAGGCGTGTACGTCTGGTACTAAATACCAATCTAAACTAAAAAAAAAACAGAATATCAGCCATAAACACCTTGGCTGTCCCTGTGGTGCAATACAGTTTCAACATCCTTAACTGGACCATAGCTGACATTAAGCGAATGGACGCCAAAACGATAAAGCTTCTCACTTGCTACCGCATGCATCATTCCAAAGCTGATGTTGACCGTCTGTATGTGCCCAGATCCGAAGGAGGCAGAGGATTAGTTCAACTAGAACTGTCCTACAAAACTACAAGAATTGGCCTCCAAAGATACTTGGAAACTACAGAAGACTGGATGATGGTACGCGTCAAGGAACATGAAAGTAGTAAGCGTCTTTAATTCGTAATAAAGGAACCCAACAAATTCAAAATGGAGTTTCAAATGGGAGCAGAAATACAAGTAAAGCACAATACACCAGCTGAAGCTGCAAAATAGTTAAAAAAAGAAAGCAAAGGCAAATGCAACCGACCAAATACAGAAACAATGGCAAAATAAACCGCTTCATGGCCAATACTCTGCCCGTACCAAACAGGATGACATAGACAAAACCCGTACCCATCAGGGTCTATGTAGTACAGATTTGAAAGCTGAAACTGAAGGTTTTATCCTTGCTGCATAGGACTATTGCCTGTTAACTAGGAATTATTAAGCACATATACTAAAATATTGTGTTAGCCCAAAATGCAGAAACAATTGATCATCTTGTATCAGGTTGCACGATATTGGCACCCACTGAGTATAAAACCCGACATGACAGAGTGGGACAATATCTGCAGTGGAAAATCTGCAACTTCTACGGGATGGAAACTGAAAGAAACTGGTATGAACACCACCCAGACCCGGTTACGGAGATAGGACCTGTTACAATTCTATGGGATTACACAATACACACTGACAGAACAATCAAAGCTAACCGCCCAGACATTGTTATTAGAGATAGCACACAAAAAGGTGCCTCCTTATTGATATGGCAGTCCCTGCAGACTGCAATGTATCTTTGAAGATCTTCAAAAAGCTGTCAAAATACAAGTACCTTGATATCAAAATCTCAAAAATGTGGCATATG